AGGAAGCTGGTCGAACAGTTACAACAGATCGCTGCGGGGACCCCCAACCGATCCACGATGATTGCGGCGACGGATCTCAATGATGGCTTGGGTATACGGAGTGTCGACGGCATACAGGAAGCAGTGGACAGTGAGAGTTTGGGGCCCCACGGACGCAGCATAGAGCATCAAGCTGGTACTCTCTACCGAGACTGGATGGAGCAGAACAACCTGGCGGCGATTACGAGTTGGTATCCCTGTGGCCCGACATATCACGGCGGCCACCGCAGCTGCAGCCATATAGATCATATGGTGATCTCCGCCCCTTGGATGTGCCGTGTGAAGAGCTGTGCTGTCGCGTACTCCCTCACAAGACGGGTACGTGCGATACCTAGTGTGGCGGTGCTGGATCACATGATTAGTGTTGCGGAGTTGGACTATGAACTCACGTACAGTGCGCCTGCCAACCACGGCGTACACTGGGACTACCTCTCAATGGGGCGTGCCATGAATGACGAGGAAGAGGCACTACAGTTCCGAGAGGAGGTGGAGGGGGCATTGGCGAAGCAATTACACGAGGACGGGCACCTGGAGGTGGACGCCTGGATGCGCGCCCACACGCTCGAGACGGCCTGGGAGAAGGTGGTGACGACGATCCGCGCGGTTGCCCAAGCTCGGTACAGCACGACACGTCGACATCGGCCGCAGTGGTACGTAGAGATGGCGAGAGAAAGGGAGGCTGCGCTGAGGGCTCGTACCAGAGCACGTGACAAACTCGACGGCGACCTGGACAGCATCCGACGACTGCGACAGCGCACGCGACGATGCAAGCAAGCAAGGATGACCATCAAGAGGGAACGACAGAATGAGCTGAATCGCGAACTGGAGGAGGCACTACGAGGTAATCGAGAGGATCTGGCCTGGATGCTCAGTTTTCAGATGGCGGGCAATGGATTGGGACCACGGAAGCGGAATCATTACATACTACTTGATGCCAGGCCTGACCTACAAACGTGGACGGAGGACTTGGCACTGAGTGGACGGGAGGGCGGGATGGAGGCCATTGCCACTACGACGGAGGAGTTTATTGGTGCAGCGTCCGCCCACGACTATCCATTCTACCCCGAAATGGAGCACTGGGAGCAGGCCAACCGTGACTTGGATGGAGTAATTGCGAAGTTATACCAAGGACGACGCCGACGTGCAGCACCACCGTGGCCACTACCGATGGAGGTTTGGAGTGCTCTTCTCACCTGCCGCGCGCCACGACGCACCACCAATGACCAACCAGCTGTGGCGGGTGCTTACCTACAAGAGTGTCTTCTGGCACAGCTAGCGGGAGTGCGACAACACAATCGACTCAACGCCTGGTGGAACCTCTCGCAGACGTACCAGGTGAGCAAGCTGAATCACAAACCACGGACGAGGGGGGCACGTCTACTACACGGGCTCTGCAGTTTCGGCAAGGCATGGGTGGGGGCGAGGCAGCCTAGGACTGGACTGACTCCAGCACCTGAGGATCATGGCTATGTGAGAGGGCGGTCACGAGTGGGTGCGTTGACCGTGGGCAATGTGTTACAATGGCGACTCAGTGCAGCAGGCCTGAGCCACATCACGACCAAGCACGACATGACGAACGCCTTCGCCAGCGTCACGCACCACCACCTCGATGACACGGTCCAGCAGCTGTACCAGCCTGAGGATGTGGAGATTATGGTAACACGACATCGGAACACAGCGTGCGTGGTCGACGCTTGTGATGGCACGGGTGTATTGCAGAATCGAGTGGGTTGTTTCATGGGTGACGCAGACGCGGCCACGAAGTTTAGGCTGGCTTTTGAGACGCCGACGGCTGAGTGGAGGAGGGATCTCTTTCCTACGACGTCGGTCCACGAGCTGATAGCAGGGTGCGCAGTCGCTCAGGAAGTGTGCGATCTGGGAGTGAGGAAGTATGCTGATGACCTCACATGTACTCATATTGCCCCAGATGCGCGCAGTGCAGCTCGTCGAGTGGAAGTTTCAGAACAGTACCTTGATGCTGCACTGGGACGAGTTGGCCTCGCCCAGAGCCGTGAGAAAAAAAGCTGTTAGTCTTTGGTTCGTGGGACGATGGGCTCAGAGGTCTGCAAGGGCCCTGCACTACCACAAGGTCGCCACCTCGGGGGAGGTCCAGGCGACCTCGGTGTTCTTGGGAGCTCACACGCAGTCTTCGGGGAGGAACGACGAGGAGATCCGAGCTAGATGCGCGGCGATCCGAGTGGGATGGCGAGGAATGGGGAAGTTCTGGAAGACCTGTCAGAATTTTAATCGGAGGCGTCTGGTGTTTCGGGCTCGTCTTATAGGAGCGGCGCTGGCGGGACTTGAAGCTCGGGTTTTGACAGAGGAGCAGGTCAGGCGTCTTGACTCGGTGGCGACGCGCCATGCTGCTGCGCTGTGCAATGGGGTAGCGGTCTATCGCAGGCTGGACGAGGGCGAGGTGGAGGAGGGAGGCGAAGCTGCGGAGGCCAGGTGGAAGGTGACGACGGTGCGTGCGGAAGCCGTGCGGAAGCGCATCGCGATAGTCCCCCCCGGCGTGGAACTTTGCATCCGACGGCTCCGCCACTTTCAAGCTCTCGTCCGCAATCCCCAACGGCATGTTCAGGAGCTTGCTGCTGTTTTCGGGAAAGTCACTTTCGAGAACCCAGAGATCCAGACTTTTGCGTGGGCGCCACCGCGCGCCCCGCCCATCACCCCAAAGGATCGCACGAACCCCCGGGCCCTGCAGTACAAGAACGACTTGTTTCTTCTTGGGAAACTCCAAGGGGGCCTGGATTTCCTGGAGACGGTGGGGGACGATCACACGAAGGTTTTCCTGGACGCAGAACTGAAACAGCAGTTTCTCAAGTTCGATGTAGCGAAGCTCCGCAAGGTCTGGCTTGAGCGCCCCACAATTACTCCCACGAGGCCGCACGAGGACCAGGAGTGCTTCGAGGGCGGTTTTCTGTGTTCGCTGATCGACGAGGAGGGTCTGGAATGCAACCGTAGGTTTCGCACAATGGGGGCGCTTCGTGCGCATCAGACACACACATGAGGAGGGGAGCACGGAAAACTGAACTTCTTCACGAGATTGACAGTGACGAACCAGTGTCCTTCGTGTTTGTCATCGTTCGCTTGTCGCCGCACTGCTATCAACCACATCGCTGCTGCCTATAGACATGGACGACGCATCGCTGACTTCTCGGTGTTCAATCATGCTGTCATCGCTCCGCTGCTGTTTGAGTGCCCAGAAGCAGAATGTGGCCAAGATTTCGATGATCCCCAAGCCCTGCAGCACCACATTCGCACTACTCATCTTCCTCAACCTCGGCCGCATGTCGTGGATGCAGGGGCTGCCCGAGATAGCCGAGGGCGACGCCGAAGGACGGCCGAGGAAGACAGCCAAGGGAGGGCGCAAGAGCGGCCCCCAGACCGCCAAGGCGGCCAATGCTTCAGGCAAGGGCGGCGGCAACGAGAAAGCGCAGAGGAAGGACACGAAGCTGGTGGACCTCAGCGAGCTCGACGGAGACGAGATAGAGGTGTCGATCATGCAGAAGTTCTTTCCCGTGATGATGCGCTTGTTGCTGAACCTGGCGCACCGCCAGAGGCAGATCGAGTCGATCGAGCTGAAGACGTTCCTCATGTCGTCAGGGCTGCAGCCAGCGGTCAAGGCGCGGGGACAGCACGAGCGTGGATTCGCGCCGCCGAGGAGATCCGCGCAGGCAACGACAAGGAGCAGGGGGCCAAGTGAAGATCAAGCAGATGGGCACGATCTCAGTGGCATGCTTCGCGGGAGTGTTCGAGGGACTGCTGGCAGAGGGAAGCGCGGTGGGCCGCGCGAACCAGCAACAACTCAGCACTCTGAAGGAAGAGCTAGCGAAGCTGACTGTTCACGAGATGGGCGAAGTAGTGCCGATGGCGAAGCTCTCAGACTGCTACGAGGAGGGCAAGGTGAAGCTGGCGCTGTCGTTCGGGAGCCGAGTGAACCTGACCCCCGTGCTGGAGGCCCTAGTCCAGGCAGGGGCAGACTACAAACAGGGGATGGCCCCGATGGGCCACTTAGAGAGGCTGATCCACACGGGCCTGCACGAGATCGAAGGAGGCATGATAGACTAGGCCGAACACAGTCACCAGACGCGGGACCACGGCGCGAGGGGCCAGAGGAGAAACGACGACGCCAGGATGCCGTGGTGAGAAGGCTTTGTGAGGCTGCACGTGAGGCCCAGGTGACCCCCCCCCCTCCTCGCAAATTCCTCCGACTCTCAACCCCTGTACCCGACAGGCTGCCAGTAGGACTCTGGAGACTCCCACCCCTTCCTCTCGGCCTGACGAGCCTCCTCTCACCTGCCCCACCCCCGCACTTCGGCTCCAGGTGGTACCGCCACGCCCTGTCGAGACCCCAAGACCCGTGCGGCCTCGGAGGCCCCCTACGGACCCTGGAGCGCGTGCTGTTTCTGGAGGCGCGTCTAGGGACCAGGGTGGAGCCCGACAGGGCTCTAGGTTTTCAGAGCGCTTTAGCCAGGCTGACCAGTCTGCCGTGCTTCGACTTCTCGCGGGGGCATCGCGGTAACTACTGAACGTAGTAGTGTGCCGCGAGATGCGTGGTCGCACATCGCATACTTAAGCTCGGGGTTAGCCCGATCCTAGAGGCGTTTGGGCACGTGGGAGTGACGGGGCCGCCTCCAATGGGTTCTAATCTAATCTAAATCATCATCCCTCCTCCTCCGCCTCCTCCTCCTCCTCCCCCTCGTCCTCCTCCTCCTCGTCCTCCTCCTCCTCGTCCTCCTCCTCGTCCTCGTCCCCCTCCTCCTCCACCTCCTCCTCTCCCTTCTCCGTTCCCGGTCCTCTCTGACGGATAGCTTTGGCCCTAGCCCGGAGCCCTCGCCTGCTCTTCCTGCTCCTCCTACCCCATCCACACTCTCCTCCTACCCCTCCTCCTCCTCCTCCTCCTCCTCGCTCCCCCCCCCCTGCGGATCGGGTCGGGGGAGTGGGGCTCCAGGAATCGCATGGCCGACGTGCAGAGCTTCTTCGAGACATACCACCGGGGCTTCTTCCGGATCTACAACCTCTGCCGCGAGCCCAGAGACGAATGAAATGGGAGGAGGAGCAGTGGCAGGGGGGGAGGACAGAGGATGAAGACGAAGAAGAGGAGGAAGAGGAGAACGAAGAGGAGTAAGAGGATAGCGGTGGAGTGAGGGGAGGGGAGGGAAGCGAAGGTGGAGGAGAGGAGGGGAGGGGCGCTACACGCTACAGTTTTGAGGCGGAAGTCCAAGTAATTAAAAAAAGAGGCGGGTGAGGAGGAAGATGAGGAGGAAGAGGAGGAGGAGGAGGAGGAGGAGGAGGAGAGGGGAAGGAGGACCAGGGAAGATAGGAGGAGGAGCAGGGCGAGCAGGAGGCGGAAGAGGAGGAGGGGGAGAGGGGAAGGGGGAGGCGAGGAAGGGGAAGAGGAGGAGGAGGAGGAGGACCAGTGTAAATCCAAGACGCATCAATGACGTTGCGATCAACCCTCCCTCCACATTCCCTCTTCACAGGTCCCTACAAGAATCTATTCAAGTGATTTACGCCCCTCCGCCGACCCCTAGAGGAGAAACGAAGTCCACGGGTAAACCCTCTGCCTCTTGGGAACCTTTCGGAGAACTTATTTGGGCATCTTTGGGACCTTTGGGGGGCCTCTTGGAGCCCCCTAGGGGTCTGGTGAGCGCCAGCTGGCGGTCTCGGGGTCCTCTTGGGGCGGAGGGCTCGAAATGTCCGTTCGTGTTTCCCCTTTTTGGGCCCCTCTGCTGGCTCTTTGGGGGGCTCTCTTGGGCGCCTCTTCGGCCGTTCTGGGGCTCTCTTGGGCCGTGCAGGGGCCCTCTTGGGGACTTCTTGGGCCGTCATGGAGCGATCTTGGGGGCCTCTTGACCCGCTGTGGACGCTGTTCAAACCAAAAGGGTAAATATGCTAAAAAAATACATGTTTCCCTTTGGAATTGGATCGATTTGGGCTTCGCGGGGCCATCTTGGGGGGTCCTCTTAGAGCTTCCTGGGGGCATCTTGGGCCGTGTTGGGGTATCTTGACTGTGTTTGAGGCCTCCTTGGCGTATTGGACCCTAGCTTGAGCAAGCTTAGGTGGAATCGTGGGCATCTTCGAGGCCGCGGAGTCTAGGAATGCAGGCTCCATGGGGCCCCGGGGAGCGTTGAGGGGCCCGGGGAGCCGCCCCCCCCACCCCCCCCGAAGGACCCCCCTCCCCCCTCGAATCGGATTTCAGGCCCCAGAGGAGGGGGAAACCGCAATGGGGGACAGCCAATCATCTCACGCGCTTGCCCCCCCTGCAAGCAGGGGTCAGCGGACTGTCATTGCTGGAAAGCGCCCAGTTGGAAGATAATCGTTTGAGAATCCGCAGTCGTGCCACGATACCACTCCTTAGACCTCAACGCCGCGAATCAGCTTTACTGCTGTGTTCTGACGATCCTGCATCGCGTCAGAACACCACTCGTGGACAACACCGCGAAGCAGCGTGACTGTTGCGCCCTGACAAATCTTGTTTCGGACGTTCACCAAAAGAGCCAGCCAAGTTGTTGAAAATGTTGGAGACGATTGTGCACGGCGCTAAGGCGAGAGCCACAGCTTGAACAAGAATCGCCCTACAGATGTGAAACTCACGCACATGTTAAAGACGAACGTGCGCGGTGCCAATGCAAGAATCACATGGTGAAAACCACCTGCCCTCCATCCGTAAAGCTCTTTGCACGCGTTGAAAACGGATGTGCGCGGCGCCAAGCGACACATGTTAAAAAAAACACATATTGAAAAGGAACCGCCCTCCATCCGTGAAGCTCTTACAAACTTTCAGACGAAAGCACGCGGCGCTGAGGCGAGACACACATGTTAAAAAGAAATTGCCCTCTTTCCGTGAAACTGCTGTAAATGTTTAAGACGATTGCGCGGCGTTGAGGCGAGAGCCATTTTCTGAAAAGGAGTCGCCTTCACCCGCGAAATTCGGGCAAACTTTCATACAAATGCACGCGGCGCATTGGCGAGAGCCGCATTTTGAAAGTGGCCCGCCCTCCATCTGTGAAACTCTTGCAAATTTTCAGGATGAATGCGCGCGGCGCTAAGGCGAGAGAGCCACATGTTGAAAACGGCCAGCCTCCCATCCGTTAAATTGGTGCAAGCTGTTTAGGCGAATGTGTGTGGCGCTCAGTCAGTCGAGAGCCACCTGTTGAAAACGGCCCGCCCTCCATCCGAGAAACTGTTGCATATCTTAAGCTTAAGGATCCTGGATGGTGAGGAAGTCCCTGGCGAAACGCCCAGCCCCCCCCAACTGACGTCTTGGGGTGCGAAAGGGAGGATTTGTTTTTAAGGAAAACAGGGATGGAGGAGGAGCAGGCGGCAGAGGACGACGACAACGACGACGACGACGACGACGACGACGGCGATGACGACGGCGATGACGACAGGCATCAGCGTCAGCCAGACGAGAAGGGCCAGGGGGGGCACAGAAATGGGGCGACCCTCACGAGACTCGGGGGGGGGCCGAGCTGCCGGCCAATCAGGCCCAGGTCGCTGGTTGCCCGTGCGCCCCAGGCCTTGTCAGGGGGCCCGCTGCGGCTCGTGGATGAGGGCGCGCGTGGATGAGCGGTGGGTCCCGCTCTGAAACAGGATCGACGCGCTCCGTAGCCAAATCGGGCGGCACTGCCCTCGTGTCTCGGGGGATACTTTCCCTGATCCGGGGATCTGGCGCCCACCCGCCAGGTGCACGGATCAGCAATCACGCCAGAGTGTGCCCGAGGCAGGTGGCCTTGGGCCAGGCGGGGCGCACCCTCGTCTGAGAGCGCAGGGGGGGGTTCTCAGACCCTCTTCCCGCCTTCTGCGGGGCCGAAGAGCTGAACGAGCGCAAGCTTTGGGCTGCCCGCGCAGATTTCCTGGGTCGGCGATGGAGGGCGAGCACATTCGCCTAGACTCCTGGACTCCTCCGGTCCTCTTCCTCCTCCTCCTCCTCCTTCTCCCCCTCCTCCTCCTCCTCCTCCTCCTCCTCCTTCTCCTTCTCCTTCTCCTGCTTCTCCTCCAGGAGCTACATTTGCATCGGCAACGCTTGGGGCATGGCCCGAAGGTCGGTTGCTGGCTAATTCAGCTCGCCTTCCTTTGGTTCACCCCGCGAAGCGAAGGTCAACAACAAAAAGTCCTCCTCCTCCTCCTTCTCCTCCACCTCCTTTTCGCCCTCATCCTCATCCTCCTCCTCCTCCTCCTCCTCCTCCTCCTCCTCCTCGTCCTCCTCCTCCTCCTCCTCCTCCTCCTCCTCCTCCTCCTGGCTCCCCCTCCTCCTGTCCCAACGCCCCTGCCCAGGCGCGCCGCCGCCGGGCGTGCGCGGAGGGGGCACGGCGCCAGCCAGAGATCTATCCACGCGGGCCTCCCAGGGCTTGCTCCTACTATGCTGCTGCCTTCTAGGCCTCCCGGATTGGGTCCGAGCAGATGGGGTCGGAGGATCGCGCCGCATCGCCGATGCATCGGCGACGCAGCTCGATGTGGAGGCCGATTTTCTCCACGCCGATGGCGTCGATGCATCGCCGACGTCGCCGATGCGTCGCCAGTGCATCGCCGATGCATCGCCGATGTACCGGCGCTTCGGCGCGGTCCTCCGACACCACCTACTCCGACCCGATTTGGAAGGCCTCTACTGGTGGACCCTCGTGCCATCACCCCTGCTCTGGCGCGCCGCCGCCAGGGGTGCGCGGAGGGGGCACGGCGCCAGCCAGAGATCTATGCACGCGGACCTCCCAGAGTTTACGCCCACTGTGCTGCTGCCTGCTGCCTGGCCTCCTGCCCTCAGCGTCGGAGCGTGGCACAGGGGCTCGTTTGCACCCTGCTCGGCTCCGCGCGAGCGGCTCCGCTCGAGCATCCCAAAAAGCAAGAAGGTGCCAAGAGTACGGGCGCCGGCCCCCTCGTGAAGAGGGGAGCCGTCTTGAGCCAGACCTTGTTGCAGCTCGTCCTCGTCGTCGTCGGCAGACAGGCAAAGAGGCAGCCAGACAGCCAGACAGCCAGACACACCATGACACGCCAGCGTCGAAATCAACAGCTACAGCCAGCGTCGCTGGCTCCATGGGAAGGGATTATTCAAGAATCTGCTCATCCGTGCCCGACCCCGCCAAGGAGCCCACAAGGTGGACGATCCAGGAGAACACGGCAGCAGGAGGCAGAGGAAGGAACGACGCCTGGGACAGGAGTCCTGTCCCAGGCGACCTCCGTGGCGCGGCAACGCCGGCTTGCGCGATTGCGTTGGGCCCCCACGGGCGCCTCTGAAGCCGCCCACCAAAGGTCACTCTAGCCTACTCCTACGTGTAGTCGAAGGACGAGCCCGGAGCTGGGGGAGAGAGGTGAGCGAGTAACCGGGTCTCACGAGACGGGGGTAAATGCAAAGGGGGGCAAGTCAGAGCGCTGGATCTTGCAGAATACTGCGGAGCCAGGGGCGCAGTGGGCCGGGCTTGGGCGCAGGATCCTGCGGGATTCTGCAGGATTTGCAAAGCCCGAGTGACCCGAGTTTGGACTGCCCTGGGTCAGTACACTCCCGAAGCGACAGGGGAGCGAGAGAAGGTTGGAGGAGGAGGAGGAGGAGGAGGAGGAGGAGGAGGAGGTGGAGGAGGAGGAGGAGGAGCAAGGAGGAGGAGCAGGAGGAGGAAGGAGGAGGAGGAGGAGGAAAGGAGGAGGGGGGAAGAAGGAGTAAAGGAGGAGGAGGAGCCCCCCGAAAAGTGCCAGCCTTCGTGCGCCGCTGGGCGGCCTCGCCCATGGGGCGGGGGGGGGCCCGAGGCTCGGAGAGGGCCTACAGCGAGACGGCCTTCGGCTCCCCCCCCGCGGTCGAGCGCCATCCGTTCGACGACCACAACCCGTGCCCCCTCCACATGGTCCGGCCCTTCTGCGAGTCCGTGCACGCCTTCCTGGAGGCCTCTGTCGACCCACCAGCCAGGGTCCACTTCGGTCCGATCGGTCCGGGTCGCTATCGATTCCGGCAGGCCCAGTTGGATCCCGACGTTCCGCCGAGCCGATGTGGCCCAGCATTTGCATGGCCCGCTGTGCATCAGCCGATCCGACTCGATTCCGGCTCCGTGCCGATGTAGTCCCATTCGATTTCGTTCCGGATCGATCCGATGTTTTCGAGTCGATGTTGATTGATCCTGCAGGGCCTCCGCCGGCTCGGAGGTCCACGATGACCCCCGAGCTGGAGATTGGAGACGTCTCGAGCGGGACGCCGAGAGGGAGCGACTTGGCCATGGCGGTGGTGCTTCGAGGAAGCAGCGGCATGGCAAGACGCCGAGAGAGATAGCGACTTGGTCATGGCGGTGGTGCAGCCCCGTAGTGGCGCCTCCGGCGCCGCCCCAGGCGCGCTCCGCGCTCCCAGGGTTGGGTAGCCCAGCGCCACTCCCAGAAAGCAGCGCGGGCCTCCGAAAGGTTATGATGCTTATGTTGCCAAGATTAGGTCGGGCACGTCCCTCTACAGGAGGAAAATTGAAAAATAGTCGAAAAATAATATGGGAACGATTGTTTAACTGTTTTCTGCATTTTTGCATACGTTTGATATATTTTTCAGTTTTCGTCCAAAATCCGCCTGTAGGGGGACACGCCTGAGCTAATACCAAGAGGCCCCCAGAGGCTCCCGAGAGACCTCGAAAAACGTTCCCCGGATACCCCAAGAGGTCCCCAACAGGTCCCCAAGAGGCCCCACAGGAGGCTCCCCAAATGCTTCCAGGAGCCTCCCGGGAGGCCTCCGAGGAGGCCCCCAGAAGCGTAGGGGATGTCTCGCACCCGCGCCCTGCACGGCGTACCCAGAGAGGCTTCAAGAGGCGCCAAATTCACGATTCGCTTCATGGCTTCAAAGGGCCGCGAAGCCCCGACAGGCACCCAAGACGCCCCGGACTCACGATCCAGGTCATGGGTGTGCCGCCATGGGCAGGCCCTCTTCGACGAGGCATCCTGGCGAATGCGAGTAATACCCGCCGCTGGGTCATCCACTCCTTCTGCCTCCGCCAATGTTGACGAAGTCCCACGGCCGCGAGGCGGCCAGTCGAGGCTGGAAAGTGTCAGAAGCGCGAGGTGTTCTGCGACGCCACCCGTAGACATCAGATGATGTGTTGTTCGCTCAGCCCGCAGGGCCCAGAGGTCTCGGCCCTTCCCCCCGGGGGGGGATTTCCCGTCCCGCATCCATGTTTGAAGGCATCAGGGCCCCAAAGCGGCCTGCGGATGCCGAAATCGAGGAAACGAATGCCAGGGAGCGTCAGTGGGAGTTGCATCTGGGATGTTCCATCACATCTTGCTGCTTCGGCCCCACGCCCAGAGTGTGTTGCGCGTGCGTGTCGTGTGTGTGTGCTTGTTTGTGCCTTATCGATATACACACCCATTCAGACATGCATACAAACATACATGCATGCATGCATACATACATGCGCGCACACCTACAGACATACATGCATGCATACATACATACATATGCATGAATGCATGCATACATACGTGCATGCATACATGCATACATGCATGCAGACGTACATGCATACATGCATGCACACGTACAGGCATGCATACATACCGACGTACATACACACATGCGTGCATGCATGCATACATAAATGCATGCATACGTACATGCATGCATGCATGCGTGGATACATATATGCATACTGACATACATAACGACCGACATAGATGCATGCATGCATACGTACATGCATGTATGCACAAATGCATGCAATTATGTACATATAACAGATCTGCACCCACACATTCGGCATGCATACATACATGCGTGCATACATACATTTAAGCACCTACATACTTACATGTATGCATGCATAGGTGCTTCCATACACAGACATACCTATATGCATGCCTACATACATACAGACATACATACAGCCATACATACATACATGCACGCATGCACACATACACGCACATAGATACACATCTACCTATAACTACACATATGCATATGGTTAGATGTGTGCATATGCATATGTTTATGCATATACATACGCATATACATGTTAGGATGCGAACAAGCATACAACTATACTTAGATGGATATGTCAGTATATGTGTGTGTGTGCATATATGTGTATGTGTGTGCTGACACATACATACAACCCTCCTGAAGAAAAACGACATGGCGATTCAGTGCCCCCCCGCCCCCATCCAAAGTCGGCCCTTGGCGGGGCCGCTACCGCTCTGGGGGCTTCGAGGCAACACTGGACGGGGGAGGGGGGTCGCGCCGTTGCGAGAAGGTGACCCATGATCACGCAGTCCCATGAAGACTCCGAAGCGTTCCCTGAATCCCCTGGTCACATTGGTCAAGTTTCTCTTCAGGATTGTAGCACTCCCGGGAAGCGCCCGAGAGCCGGAAAGGCACCGATACCCGACCCCCAGAGTAAACCCGGAGGGGGGACCGGACCGCGCCCCAGGTTGGCATGGGGGCCCCCGGTGGCCCGTGAGAGCCCAGCGAGTTCCCGGACAGTTGATAACGCTCCTCATATTGGCCCACGACCATCCAACAGATTGCGTCTGGAGCGCTCTGGCGCCACCCGAGACACGCCCAGATGGTCTGGAAGACGCACCAAGAGGCCCATGTGGGGGGTGAAGAGAGGTGCACCTTCTGTACCCTACCTGGGGCCCAAAATGGGCACGAAAGGTGCACGTTTCTCCTCCCAACCCCCACATCTCGTGCCCCCATGAAGCAACGCCCCCTTTGATCGCCGACAGGGGGCCCCATGAGCCCGCCCCGCCCAGGAGCGCTCGCCTCTGCCATCGGCTCGGCCTTCTTCTCCTCCTCCTCCTCCTCCTCCTCCTCCTCCTCCTCCTCCTCCTTCTCCTCCTCCTCCTCCTCCTATTCCTATTCCTACTTCCTCCTCCTCCTCCTCCTCCTCCTCCTCCTCCTCCTCCCTCCTCCTCCTCCTCCTCCTCCTCCTCCTCCTCCTCCCCTCCTCCTCCTCCTCCTCCTCCTCCTCCTCCTCTTCCTCCTCCACAATTACTCAATATGAATACTACTCTCCCTCTTCCCCTGATGACGTGCTGGGAGTGTTCGCCCCCCCCCGCGTCCTGTTTTTTTACACAGGTTTCCCAGGAGTTGGGTTTTCGCTTGCATTTGTTTGTCAAAATGCTGCTCTCGCTGAGGCGCCGGCCTCATTTTCGGGCCCCGCTCGTTCCGAATCGTGCTCCCGCTGCAGCGCTGGCCTCATTTCCGTGCTTCCGCTCGTTCCGAATCGTGCTCCCGCTGCAGCGCTGGCCTCATTTCCGCGCTTCCGCTCGTTTCGACTCGTGCTCCCGCTGCAGCGCTGGCGTCATTTCCCATGCCATGCCACGGCGTGCAATGCAATGCTAGGTTGATACTACGCTTTCGCGGTGCTCTTCTACGCCATGCCATGCCGTGCTCTACAATGCATCGCGTACCCTTTCGGGATCATTGCCCTGCTCGACATCCGACTGTGCGAGTAGAGAGGGGATCTGCGCCATGTTAAGGGATGGGAGGGAGGGGTAGGATGTCAGATATGACGCGAGCGCACCTAGCTTGTCCCCCTCCCCCTCCTCCTCCGCCCTCCCCCTCCTCCTCCTCAGCCTCCTCCTCCGCCCTCCTCCTCATCCCCCTCCCCCCCTCGTTTTTCGCGCCCCCATTAAGCAACGCCCGACTTACCTCGGGAGGTACGCGTCCACGAGAAGGCCACGGGGGGGTCTCGCTGAGGCGCACCTCCCCGGCCAGCCTGCCGAGCCCCGCGCCTGGCCGCGGCGGCAGTGGGGTCCTCCTCCTCTTCCTCCTCCTCCTCCTCCTCCTCCTCCTCCTCCTCCTCCTCCTCCTGCTCCTCCTGCTCCTCCTGCTCCTCCTGCTCCTCCTGCTCCTCCTCCTCCTCCTCCTCCTCCTCCTCCTCCTCCTCCTCCTCCTCCTCCTCCTCCTCCTCCTCCTGCTCCTCCTGCTCCTGCTCCTCCTCCTTCTCCCCCTCCTCCCCCTCCTCCTCCTGGGCCTCCAGGAGCGTCCCAAACAGGTCGGCGGCCGGGGTCGTCGAGCCCCTCCAGGGCTCAGTTCGACTCCTCCGACTCGATTCGATTACGATCGATTCCGATTCCGATCCGATTCGATTTCGGGTTCCGATTGGGGTTTTGGGGCCTCACCAACTTGGCGATATCCGCCGATCCGACTCCTTTCGATCGCCGATCCACCTATGGATGCGATCCTGGGCTCCCCTGCCCCTCTGCGCGCACGCCTTTCCCGGGAGGCCGACCCCCGCAACGTGGTCGCGGTGCACTGCAAGGCTGGGAAGGGCCGCACCGGCATGATGATCTCCGCCTTCCTGCTGCACTCCGGCATCTGCAGGACGGCGGGCGAGGCGCTGGACACATTCGGCAACCAGCGGACCCAGAACGGCAAAGGGGTGACCATCCCGAGCCAGCGGAGGTACTCGAAGAAGAAGCTGAAGAAAAAGGAGGGAATGTAAAAAAGTGGGGAAGAACCCAACATGCAGTTGTGAGTACCGCAATTGTGAGTACCGTCTTAGGTGAAACTCCCTACGGGGCAACGCCCGCATGCGGGCTGCGCCACTGGGGCCTTTGGTGCAGCTCCCTGTGGGGCCACGAAACGTGTGAGGGGGGGGCTGGAAAACGGAGATGTCGCCCAAATTCGGGCTGCGCTACTAGGACCGTAGGTGGAGCTTCCTGTAGGGCCACGAAACGTGTGATGGGCGTGCCGAAAAAAGGGGTGTCGCCCACATGCGGGCTGCGCCTCTGGGACCCTCGGTAGAGCTCCCTGTGGGGCCACGAAATGTGTGAAAGTTGTGCCGAAAAGGAGGTGTCGCCCACATGCGGGCGGCGCCACTGGGCCTTCGGTGGAGCTCCCCGTGGGACCACGAAACGTGTGATGGGCGTGCCCAACTTGGGGTGTCGCGCACAAGAAAAAAGACCAACCAGGAAATCCACAGGGGAACCACGAAATCGGTGGGCGAACGGGGAAATGTTCGGAATTAGATTGGGTCGAACGGAGAATCTGGAAAACCGGGGGGCGTCGAACAAGGAAATTGTCCTCGTTGAGTGGGAATTTGTTTCCTGGTGGGGGTCTTGGTCATTACAAAGCGCTCAGCCGATTGTGTAATCCAGCTTTATTCAGTTTTTTTCTGGATCGGACTCAGCTATAACCTTTCTCTTGCCAGGCGTCATCAGGCATGCGCGTGAATGGAATATGAGAGGGGATGCCCCTGGGCCGATCTCAACGACGCATCGCCGCGTTACCGTCCCAAACGGCTGGCGCACGAAATTTGAAAACTCTGCCTCGCCTGGAAGGTCCCGCCAGGCATGAAGTTTTCAAAACTAGGGCGGGGCGGCGACTCGTGCGCTTGCTCTGGGCTCTCTGCGCTTGTCCTAGACTTCATAACTGTGAGCGTGTTCGGGCGCGCGCTCTTCGCGGAAGTTTTCAAACTCAGGGTTTTGATCGCAGCATGTCTGTCGCTTCGCAGGCGCTGCCACCCGGCCCGACCCGCCCGCTAGGGTCCGCCCGCCCGACCCGACCCGCCCGTCAGGGTTCATGCGCGCTCGCTCGTACATGCCCCGCACTTTTGTGTCCCGCCCGCCCGACCCGATCAGCCCGCTAGGGCCCGCCCGATCCGACCCGCCGGCTAGGGTCCGCCCGTTCGACCCGACCCGCCCGTTTGGGTTCACGCGTGCTCGCGCGTGTATGCCCCGCACTTGAATGTCCCGCCCGCCAGGCCAGACCCGCCCCTCAGGGTCCGCCCGCCCGACCCGACCCGCCCGTTAGGGACCTCTTGTACACCGCAGCGCGCTGGGGGGCGCACAGGAGCTCGCAGGCCGCGGGGCCAGCCGACTGAACTGCCGCAGAAAACACCCGCAAAGATTCGATGGCGACGACGACGACGACGACGACGACGACGACGACGACGACGCCCGCACACGCGCGAAAGAATTCCGATTCGCGTTCATGGCAGCCCGCGCGTCCACGAACGAGCGACGAGAGTTTAGGTTAGGGTTAGAGGTTCTGAAAGGGATTAGGGTTAGGGGTTAGGGTTAGGGTAGGGGCTGGGTAAGGGTAAGGTTTTAGGGTCTACGGTTAGGGGTTCGGGTCTAGGGTTTGGGGTTAAAGTTAAGGATTAGGGTGGGGGCTCGATTTAGGGTAAGGGATAGGGTTTAGGGTTCGGGTTAGGGCTCAAGATTTAGAGTTTAGACTCGGGTTTTGCGTTAGGGCTCGGCATTGGCATTAGGTCAGGGTTAGGGTTAGGGGTTCGGGTCAGAGTCAGGGGTCAGGGCTAGGGGTGAGGATTCGGGCAGGGCTTAGGGTTAAGGGTCAGGGTTGGGATTTTGGGTTCGGGTTAGGGGTTAGGATTGGGGCTGAGGGTTAAAGGTCAGGGTTAGGGTTTAGGGTTACGGTTACGGTTTGAATTTCAAGGTTTGGGTTATGGGTTAGGGTTAGGGGTCATGGTAGGACCTCGAACCAGCGGTGGACCTGCGGATCTTGCCTTGAAAATGAACATTTTGCTTAGCGGGTGTGTCGCCGTCAAACGGGAGTTTTCAAAATTACGGCGGGCGTGGGCGGGCGCGTTGTTCGGCCGCGTCCGTTGCAATGGTTTCATTTTAGGACGGTTTCATATTAATGTTGCTTGTTTCTGCTCGTGCTCGTCCTCACTTTTGAGAGTTGGGGTTTCGGGTTTGGGGTTAGAGTTCAGGGTTGGGGTTAGGGTTAATGGGTTAGGGTTTAGGCTTAGGGGTTAGGGTTCAGGGTAAGGGGTTACGGTTCGGGTTAGGGTTGGGATATTGGGCTCGGCTTAGGTTTAGGGTTTTGGGTTAGGGATAGGGTTTAGGGTTGTTAAGGATAGGGTTAGGGCTTAAGATTGAGAGATAGGGTTAGGGGTTCGGGTCAGGGATTAGGGTGGAGGTTAGGAATTCCGGTCAGGGCTAGCTAGAGTTAGGGGCGGAGGTTCGGGGTCGGGTTTAGGGTTAGGGGTTAGGGTTAGCATTTAGGGTTAGGTTTAGGGTTTGGGGTTGAGGGTGAGTGTTAGGGTTAAGGGGTTAAGGCTGGGATTTGGGTCGAAGTCAGGGTTAGGGTTACGGCTCTGGTTGTAGGGCTGGGGTGATGGGTTAGGATTAGTGTTCGGGGTTCGGATAGTGCCGCGGACTAGCGGCGGACCAGCATACCATGTCTTAAACATGAACACGTTGCTTGGCGGGGGTCGTCGCCGTCAAGCGGGAAATTGAAATCGAGATGAGGCGTCATCAGGCATGCGAGTGATGGGAGGGGGTGGCCCTGGGCCAATCTCAACGACGCATCGCCGCGTTACCGTCTCGAACGGTTGGCGCCCTAAATTTGAAAACTCTGCCTCGCCTGGAATGACTCGCCAGGCATGAAGTTTTCAAAATTAGGGCGGGGCGGGAGGCTTTTGGGCGGCGACTCGTGCGTTTGCTCTGGGATCTTTGCGGGGCCCGCGGGCGAGTTTTCCAGAGATTGCCCCAGGGTGTTTCGCACGCTTATGTCACTCAGTGTACAAGACTGACGTCCATCCTCCTTTCCTCCTTCTGCTTCAGTTTCCCCCTCCTGCCTTCGCCTGCTCCTCGTACTTATGCTGCTGCTGCTTCTCAACCTCCTCCTCCTCGCCCCTCACCTTGTCCTTCCGGCACTCCACCCTTTTCTGACTTGAAGGCTCTACGTTGGGTTTGTTCGGCACGTGGTTCGTTGACCGGCGTGCTGGATGGGTTGCGAGGTGTTGTCGTCGGCGTTTTCTCGGTCAGCAGGCTTCCTTTTTTTTCCTGGGGCGCGTTTGACGATTTCCTTGTTCCACCCAGAATGTCTTGGTTCGCCTCGCTCGCGTCCGCTCGCGTTCCTCGTTGGACCCCACAATTTCCTCGCTCAGCAGGAAAGAATGTCCTCGCTCACCCCTAGAATTTTCCTCGTTCGCCTCGAATAATTTCCTTGTTCGCCTGTCGACCTCGCGAACATGCGGGCTGCGCCACTGGGGCCTTCGGTGGAGCTCCGTATGGAGCCACGAAGCGTGTGATGAGCGTGCCGAAACGGTGTGTCGCCCACACGCAGGCGGCGCCACTGGGGTCTTAAATGGAGCTCCCCATGAAGTGATGATGATGATGATGCTGATGATGATGCTGATGCTGATGCTGATGCCGATGCCGATGCCGATGATGATGATGATGATGATGATGATGATGATGATGATGATGATGATGATGATGATGATGATGATGATGATGATGATGATGATGATGATGATGATGATGATGATGAAAGGAGGAGGGAGGGGGCGAGGAGGAGGAGTGGCGCAGGGCGTTGTCCCTTCAAAACGAGGACTAAGTACCGCAGGACGGTTGGGAACTAACAAGGAAAACTGCATAATCATAAACGTCCGGAGTTCCGCGCGGATTTCCCTAAGTTCATAGTCGTGCCGTTTTTTGTTCCTCCAGGTACGTGGAGTACTACGCGTCTATGCTCCAACAGCTAGACAGGAACGACGACATGCCAAGCCCCGCGATGCTCCTCAAGACGATATGCATACCAGTCAGCCCGAATTTCGACCGGTCTGGCGGATGCAGCCCGTACTTCCAGGTGTACCAATTCTCCGAGGCCCTCCCCGCCTTCCTCTCCCCCTCCGCCCTCCGCCTCCTCCTCCTCCTCTTCCTCCTCCTCCTCCTCCTCCTCCTCCTTCTCCTCCTCCTCCTCCTCCTCCTCCTCCTCCTCCTCCTCCCTCCTCCCTCCTCCCCCTCCTCCTCCTCCCCTCCTCCTCCTCCTCCTCCTCTCCTCCTCCTCCTCTCCTCCTCCTACTCCCCCTCCTCCTACTCCTCCTCCTCCTCCTCCTCCTCCTCCTCCTCCTCCTCCTTCTCCTCCTCCTCCTCCTCTCCGTAGCCATTTTGGCTCAAGCCATTTTGGCTCAAGCGATCGCACGGCCGCGCCTCCCTCCTCCTCCTCCGCGGGTCCGAGGGATGGCGCAGCCTAGAGGGGCTCCCTCGGCCTCGGCGGACCTGGCGGCTCTCGTGGCTGCGGCCGTCCGCGGGGCCGTGGAAGCTGGCGCACCGCGCCGCACCGTCGCGGCGGTTGCCCGCTCCGCGGTCTCGGCGGCAGCCTTTGCGGCTGGGCCGACGACGCGCGAGCCTGGCACTGCTGGCGACGATGCGCGCCCTGGCGAGCCTGCTGCTGCTGCGCGCAGGCGGCCCTCCACGGAGGCCCAGCGCGAGCGGCGCCGCAGGCGCCGTCAGCGGCTGGCGGGGCGGCGCGCACTGGAGAAGGGGGAGGCGGCGGCGATGGACGAGGCGGCGGAGCAGGCTGGCGCGCTGGTGGCGCTCGTCGGCCCTGGACCCGCTGCCCCTGCCGAAGCTGCGGCGGCCCCCGTTGACGATGGCGTCAACGGCAACGGCGACGACATCGAGATCGACGACGACTGGGCCGACGAGGCAGCGCCTGCGCGCAAGCCACGTCGTGCTCGGGGGCGTGCTGCTGTGGGCGGCTCGGCTGGAGCTGGCGGCGCGCCGCCTGCGGAGGCTGGAGCTGGCCGTGGCGCACCCGCTGCTGCGCTGAATGACGACGTGGAGAGGGCGGCCCTGGGTGCCGTGTGCCTCCAGAAGAGTCTCTGCCAGCAGCGCGACGTCGACGCCCTCTCAATCGAGGCGCTCCGCAAGCTCGCCAGCGGCCTTGCGCCCGCGGCCGGCGCTGGAGCGCAGCGTGGTGCTTCCTCGTCTTCGCGACGGAGCCCCTGAGAGGCCGGCCTGCTTGGGCCCCACAGTCACCGATGGTTGGGCCGCTGCTTGCATGCCCCAGGTGCGCTGTGGGTGGTCCCAGGTAGGCCCTTCCCCGCCAGCTGGCACCACGCGTGAGCCTCTCACGGAAGCTCGGTTGGTGTGCAGGCTGGCGGGGCCCGCCGTGTTCGTCTTCGTCAACACGGCCTCCATATTGTGTAGGCCTCCCGCGGTAGCGGGCCGTCGCCTACGGCTTCTGACAGTGGACCCCCTGCTCGGCACCCCGCCTTGCAGGGGGCGCAACGGCCTGCGCCTCCTCCTCCTCCTCCTCCTCCTCCTCCTCCTCCTCCTCCTCCGCCTCCGCCTCCTCCTCCCCCTCCTCGTCCTCCTCCGCCCTTCACCTCCCTCTTCTTCCCTGCGCTCCGCGCCCTTCCCTCCCTCCCCACCCCCTCCCGCACGCGCCTCCACCATCTCCACGCTCAGGGGCAACTTTAGGGGGGGGGGACGTGCCCCGGGGGGGGGCCGGTGGACCGATGGCGGATTCGCTGTCGGGAGCCGATCGCCGCTCTCTCGGCGATGCATCGCCGATTTCAGCTCGAAGTTCCCCCCTGGAACATCGAAGACGAAAATTACCCTGGCGACGTACCCAACCCTTGCGCAATGCGGGGCAGAAGTACATCAGGATTGCTACAACGGGGGCGATGACGTAACATGGACGCATGTGATTTTGCGAGCAGCAATCGAAAGACTCGCAGACCCCCGATCAAGATATAAGGGCTACATAATAACAAATCACCCCCGTTGGCTGTGCCATGCGCCCGTTGTACCCAAGGTATCCCACAGCATCGCTTGAGCGCCCCCGCGGGATACGTGTAGGCGCAACGTTATGGCCATCGCCCGGCAGATGGTCTGTTTCACAAATCACCCCCGTTGGCTGTGCCATGCGCCCGATGCGCGTAACGTATCCCACAGCAGCTCTCCAGAGCCCCCCCAGGGACGGCGAGGTCTCGCTCAGGGCCCCGCGGTGCCTCATTCCGCTGGACCCGACAGCAGCCCTCGAAAGTGGCGACAGCGTCGCAGATCGCAGCCCCCCCAGGGACGGCGAGGTTTCGCTCAGGCCCCCGCGATGCCTCACTCCGCTGGACCCACCAGCAGTCCTCGAAAGTGGCGACCGTGTTGCAAATCGCAGCCCCCCCAGGGACGGCGAGGTCTCGCTCAGGTCCCCGCGGTGCTTCATTTCGCAGGACCCACCAGCAGCCCTCGAAAGTGGCGACCGCGTCGCAGAGCCCCCCAGGGACGGCGAGTTCTCACTCAGGTCTCTGCGGTTCCTCACTCCGCAGGACCCAACAGCAGCACTCGAAAGTGGCGACAGTGTCGCAGATCCTAGCCCCAAAAGGGACGGCGAGGTTTCGCTCAGGTCCACGCGGTGCCTCACTCCGCTGGACCCACCAGCAGTCCTCGAAAGTGGCGACAGTGTCGCAGATCAAAGCCCCCCCAGGGACGGCGAGGTCTCGCTCAGGTCCCCGTGGTGCCTCACTCCGCTGGACCCACCAGCAGCCTTCGAAAGTGGCGACAGTGTCGACGTTCGCAGCAGCCCCCCCAGGGACGGCGAGGTCTCGCTCAGGTCCCCGCGGTGCCTCACTTCGCAGGACCCACCAGCAGCCCTCGAAAGTGGCGACCGTGTCGCAAATCGCAGCCCCCCCAGGGACGGCGAGGTCTCGCTCAGGTCCCCGCGGTGCCTCACTCCGCAGGACCCACCAGCAGCCCTCGAAAGTGGCGACAGTTTCGCAGATCAAAGCCCCCCAGGGACGGCGAGGTTTCGCTCAGGTCCCCGCGGTGCCTCACTCCGCTGGACCCACCAGCAGCCCTCGAAAGTGGCGACAGCGTCGCAGATCAAAGCCCCCCCCCAGGGACGGCGAGGTCTCGCTCAGGTCCCCGCGGTGCTTCACTCCGCTGGACCCAACAGCAGCCCTCGAAAGTGGCGACAGTGTCGCAGATCAAAGCCCCCCCAGGGACGGCGAGGTCTCGCTCAGGTCCCCGCGGTGCCTCACTCCGCTGGACCCAACAGCAGCCCTCGAAAGTGGCGACCGTGTCGCAAATCGCAGCCCCCCCAGGGACGGCGAGGTCTCGCTCAGGTCCCCGCGGTGCCTCACTCCGCTGGACCCACCAGCAGCCTTCGAAAGTGGCGACAGCGTCGCAGATCAAGGCCCCCCAGGGACGGCGAGGTCTCGCTCGGGTCCCCGCGGTGCCTCACTCCGCAGGACCCACCAGCAGCCCTCGAAAGTGGCGACAGTTTCGCAGATCAAAGCCCCCCCCCCCAGGGACGGCGAGGTCTCGCTCGGGTCCCCGCGGTGCCTCACTCCGCTGGACCCAACAGCAGCCTTCGAAAGTGGCGACAGCGTCGCAGATCGCAGCCCCCCAGGGACGGCGAGGTCTCGCTCAGGTCCCCGCGGTGACTCACTCCGCTGGACCCACCAGCAGCCTTCGAAAGTGGCGACAGTGTCGCAGATCGCAGCCCCTTGGCAAGATGCACGCACAAAAGGTACCGCAGCCAGGATGCACACATACACACGAAGTGCGCACAAGACAAGAGGAAAGCGAGAGTCGAGAGGCGGGAGGAGGAGGACTGGAGACCGCAGTGCTTTGTTCAAAACAAATACCCAACCAAGGAGGGTTGGGAAAAACATAAACATTTGAGTTGTCGGCGCTCCACGCGGATTTCTTGGATCCGCGCTGGGCCCCCCGGCGGCGCCTCCGGCGCCGCCCCTACTTCGTTCCGGGCGCCAGGGAGGGGGTCCAGCGCAGATCCAAGAAATCCACGCGGAGCGCCGAAAGTTTATGGTTACCTATACGACCACCCTTCGGGTGATAAGGAGGTTCGGGGGGGAGGAACCAACGTCTCACTCGGTCGGTCTCACTATCGATCTCACTATCGGTCTCGGTCGATCGATCTCACTCGATCGATCTCACAGTCGATATCACTCGATATTTTTCATTCGATTGATCTCACAATCGATCTGACTATCGATATCACAGTCGACCTCACTATCGATCCCACGATCGATCTCGCAATCGATATCACATTCGGTCTCACGGTCGATCTCACTATCGATATCACAATCGATCTCACAATCAACGTCATCATCATCATCAACGACATCATCGTCACCAACGTCATCTTCATCGTGACACCATCATCCCCATCACCATCATCATCAACACCATCATAATCAGCATCATCACCAACATCATCATCGGGGCACCATCATCGTCACCATCAGCATCGACATCATCATCATCATCGGGACACCATTGAACATCAGCATCGGAACACCACCACCATCATCATCATTTCATCATATTGAACAACATAACCAACATCATCATCATCAGCATCGAGACACCATCATCAGCATCACCAACATCACCATCATCAACATCATCGTCAACATTATCATCATCGGGGCACCATCATCACCGTCACCATCATCAGCATCACCATCAGCATCATCATCATCGGGACACCGTTATCATCATCAACATCAGCATCACCATCATCGGACCACCATCATCAAAATCATCATCATCGAATCATCATCATCAACATCATCATCGGGACACCATCATCGTCATCATCAGCATCATCAACATCACCATCATCATCGGGACACCATCACCATCATCATCAACAGCATCAGCATCAAACTCATCATCACCATCATCATCGGGGCACCATCATCATCATTTTCATCATCAGCAGCATCATCATCTCATCCTCATCATCACCAGCATCACCAGGATCATCAGCATCATCATCGGGACACCATCATCATTATCATCAGCAACATCAGCATCATCAACATCATCATCAAGGGGACACCATCATCATCACCA